TATTTGAATAAACCACATCGCATATAAGGGGGGCGAATGTCCTAAAGAGGGGCGATATTCCTAGGGTATTCGCCCCACTCCCCTGGGAGGCGATATTCCTAGGAATATCGCCACGTTTTGAAGGGGGGGGCGAATTTCCTGGGGGGGGGCGACCTTTTTAAAAATTCTATCTTGCCCCCCCAAAATTCGAGTTTGCCCCTCAAATGTCCCCCCAAATTTGGAAGCCTGGCGCCGCCACTGCCAAACACTAGAATTTAATCTTGATTTTCTTAAACTTCGATACAGCACAAAATTAAACGCAACAGATTATATTTCAAGTCTTTCAAACTTTTGTATGCCCCAAAGGAAATCTTGATTCTTGAGGAAATCTCTGAATTTAAAATTATTGTGTTGTTATTTTAAACGCATACTAATTATCAATTAACCAATGAAATATCTTCATTTGTCATATATTATTCAAATAAAGCATTGTCCAATCAGAGGCCTTTCCCCAAATCTGGCGAAAATCCACGTGACCAGAACAAGAACGTCCAACTCACAGACGTTCTCTCGCGCGCTTCGTCGAGAGTAATGTCTGTACACAGGCTATATAATATCAGTGTATCTTAGAAAGTCGTTCCGGCATGTTGAAAGCTATTTTCATCTATAAGACCACATATAAACAACAATTAAAGAAAATCACAGACAATTTCATCTCTTCGCCTGCACGGGTCGGAACCACTTTAAATACAGTTAGTTCTTCGTAGTTTCTTCAGAGTCGAGATCAAAAATACAATACAGCTACGTTTCTTTTTATGGAAAACACCGCGTTTATTTAGCAAAGTTTTCAATCTGTTAGATGATCAAATAGATTTTATACTGTAAGTTATTATCGATTATTTTGACATTATACATTGCACATTACCGATTTCAAGAATCTGTTAGACTATTTAAGTTTTTCTATTAAGATACGAATATTTCAGAGTTGATGAAAGTTGCAACTCGCTCGCGTTTGACAGCCGAGTCTCATTAACTTTGGACGGTTTAAAATTTTGATGTTTAAAATTTTTACAATTTTCTCTACGCGCGGAGCAATAGCCTACATGTAACTCTTGTTCTTGTTTGCCCAGGGCAAGAGAATTCTTAAGAAATAGTGGGCCACATCTATATGTACCAACAACCTTTAAAATAAGAACTCGTTTAAGAATCTGAAACCTAAACAACCTTATTAACAATAACTACTAAGTTATACTAGAACGTATTTGGAATATAATCCATTGTACTGATAATGATCGGGATTACAGATTCAAACCTTTGCTAAATAAATCATAATAATAATAATCATAATAATCAATCATCGTATTTTAAACAAAAATAAAAGTTCTTACAATATTTTTCATCAAATTATCTATCTGTTCTCACAAATCCCATCTGTCAGACAAAGTACATAGTTTCTTCCTTGCTTTTTCATGCATCAACAACAGGTGACGTAAAAATTCCGGTCACGTTTTTACAATTTGCTTGATTTCAGTAAACGATAAATAACGATGACTGTTTCTTGACGGCTATTTCTTGACAGAGAAAGCAACAACCAGGCAACTGTTTCAATCGATATCTGCACCATTTTGCTGTCATCATAATTTCCACCATCATTTAACCACCGCCCATCAATTATAATCACCACTCTTACCATCGTAACATCATTATTTATACCATCATAACCGCCTAAGTAACAAAACCACAACATTCACTATTAGCATTTTTAACACCATTGTCACTATCACCTCTATCATCGCCACCATTATAACGACAATCACAACATTGCAATAATAACCATAACATTATCACATTATCACCATCAAAACACTGCAATCGTAGTCAACATCACGACCACAATCATCGCCGCAATTTTCACCATCATAATGACCATCACCATCAGTAATATATACTGTACTATCATTTCTAGATCACCACGTATGATCATTACCATCGTCATCAACACCATCATACGACTGATTAATCTTTTTTCAGAAGCATTCCATTTCACGGTCATGACCTCATGCAAGGTAAGAGCTTTGCTTCCTACATGATACTTGACCAATGGTTAGAATCTGTAACCCCAGGTAGGGAGGCAAGAGAGTACTATCACTTGCCCAAGGTGAACTCCCAGACAAGCGGAGGGAAGGAGGTGTCTTACTTCTCCATTCTAGACTGGCTCCAAGCAAAGTCTAGCCGCTGCCCAAAAACATCGTTTTTTAAACGTGTCCTTGTTGAAAAAACCTTTTCATCATTGTTCTGTGCGCAATATACGGTATACTAAACTCTAAACGTTCATACGTTGAAATCGATGAGGACGCCATTGTCGTATTTATCAAGCATGTTCTTCCTAAAGTAAAAAACTCAGACTTAACAATCCGTGACTTAATATAACAATGAACCGAGTGGCCACTCAGCAGCTGCCTCACGTTTCATGCGGGACAACAAAGGGTCTTGTGGAATACACAGTCGAAGAAACTCCATATCGCCGTTTATCTTTGGAAGAGCTATCGTAGTTTCTTTTGGGGAGAGTTTTAGTTGTTTTAGCGAATCATTTGTTAAATATCTTTGAAAAGAAGAATTAAGAAGCGCGCCAGAGTCCATGTCCAGAAAATGTATAACATGATCACATGGAGCGATAACAACTCTGTCCTTTCTAAGACAAAAGAACTTCGAATTAATAGATTCTTCCAGACGTATACGTTTGTCATCGTCGCCAACCAGGTCTACTATACTAATGTTTGCTTTCCGAACAACAGCGATTTTAGAATCGTTGGTGAAGCAACATGCACTCCCATCGTATGATGCACAAGTACCAGAATAAAAGACTTCATACGTTACTGGTTCCTCGGTAATTCTTTCCCAAATGTAAAAAAACCTGATATTACCACCAAAGACAAAGGAAGCATCAGGCGATACAACAATATTCATCCCAGTCTTAATTTCTGGTAAGGTGACCATTCGCGGTTCTTCTGTTCCGTTAACATCAAGAACTTTCACAGGGTTTGTACTTCCGCACTCGAAGATGAGTAAGCCCTCTGAAAAATCAACAAGTGCTGATAAGGATACGAACTCTTCCAACAAATGACACAGCGATACTTGCAGGCTCACAAAGAATATGATCTCTAAACCATCATCCAGGTATTTTGTTAAGCTGGGAGTCCTGTCAAAAAAGTCAAACACGAACAAGCACTCTTCCGACCACCAACAAGCAAATGACGAATCGCCTTGATTGCTTTTGAAACGCTGTTCAACTTGGCTGGTATAGACATTCCATATGTTGATATTTCCATCTGAGGTACAGGTTGCAAGTCGGGAGCCATCAGGAGAAAACGAACTTGAAAGAACCCGTGTTGGACGTGGCAGGCGAGAAAGTTGTTCTTGTGTTGGGGCTAATGTCCTAAACACAATTAATTTTTTCACATCCGCGTAGAACCATAGATCATCTTCAAGTGCTGTTATTTTGCAAAGGCAATCATTATTCTGCTCGAAATAGTAAGAAATATCAACAAAAAAGTTCCAGGAAGCAAGCGTAGTGAAATGAATACTTTCTATGACACTTAAAAAATAATCTTTCAGAGAAAAAATACAATTTACACCATTGTAGATCCCCGTCGACCTGGCTTCGAATTGGCGGCCTCTCGAAACCGTCAACGGCATACAAAGTTCGATTTCTAATCTTTTAGAAGAGTTTAATTCTTTAAATCCTGGTCGAAAACAACGGTTACATTTCTTATTCTTCTGCAATACTCCTAGTTCCTTTAGTTTTACATCACGTATGTTTCGCTCATCACTTCTTTGCCAGGTAATAGCATTCCAAACGCAAAATGAATCTTCTTGTCTCCTGTCTTGAATTATTAAACCGTACGGTACCCAGTCATCATCCGGAACATATGCAACATCTTTCCTATCTCCAATGATAAATAACCCTGTGCTGCTAAAAGAGCACCAATCAACACACACGTCAGCACAAAGTAACGACAACAAGCTTTGTCTAGAGACATCCCATAACTTAATGGTGTTTGAGCCGTTGCTAGTTAGCAGCCTCTTGCCGTTCGGAGAAAATGCACACGACGCGAAAAACTCTTTGTTTCCGTGGAAAAATGGTACTTGCTTTCTTTCAGCAATGTTAAGAACAGTTTCCAGTATCCCAAATAAAACGAATGAGTCGTCTGGACCGAATACGCAACACACTGGAGTGCGTAGGCGAATACTTTCCAATCCTGCTGAATATTCCCAAAGCTTAACCAAGCTAGGTACGGATATTACACTGATAGTGACATTAGTCCGATCCGTGTTTCCAACGGCTGCCATTGCCTTATCGTGGGACAAACCAACAGCGCTAATCTCTGGCTCCCGCCAAAATTCGGGGTTTTCAGGATTATGATGCCACGCTGCAAAAGGTAAAACCTCCACTTCATTAAAGTTACTGTACTCGACAAACCGTCGAACCTTCGATAAAAGCGACTCTGCAATTTTCTTCTCGTTATCACTGAAACATCCTTCAGGAGAATGTGTGAGGACACTTTTTAAATAATATGATCTCGTCTTTAACGTTGATTTATTTCTCAGAAAGTCAATTTCAAAGACATGCCATAAAATGCGTTCACGTAGTTCATCACTTGTGACCACAGAACCATGAAGAATTTCTGCCCAGAGATGTACTAGATACTCTCCTTTAAAGGGATAGATAGTAAAAACTACGTATATGATTACAAAATCTACCACCCAAAAGAAACTTTCCTCCATATTACATGCTTTGAGATACCGAAAGCCGTGATCCAGAGCATATTTCACGTCATTAGTTAAGTCTAAGTCATCTAAGGAGCAAATTGTCTTCTTAATTTCTTCAAAAACTTGTTCACATCTCAGCCATAGGGATTTATTCCCATCACTAACATTGACGGTATACTCGTGATTTTTGTAGCCTTCTGCAAGAAGCCAGTCAATAACGGACTTGTGGAAAACGGTCACCAGATCATCAGAAACGTAGAGCAAACAGGATACCGTTTCGTTGACTTTGTTAATGATCTTTGTCGTTTCACGACAATCTGAAGCCAAACCAAGAGCATGAGAGATGAAACTGAGGGGAAGAGGGCCTTCAGAAACTGCAAGCATTTCCAAAATGCTTAGCACATCAAGACTGCCATGCCTTATGGCGTTTAGCTCCTTTTCAAGGCGATTAAAATATTTCAAGTAAATTGAATCCAGGCCTTCTGGGACAAACGTCATTATTTCATCCAATGTCATCTTATCAAGATCATCGCGTTTCCGTAGCTCAGACTGAACGTAAAACGCATACAGAAATGAACCCTGACACTTCGTCTTAGCAAGCTCTTCACACACAGTTGGAACCGGATCTCCGTATTCAAAAAACAAAGGAATGTTTGCTTTCCTGTCAGCTAGACATGGGAGGCAAGCTTTAAGGTACAATTCAAGATCTAAGTCATTGTTGGTATCATCGCTGTCAATATTAATCCTTTGAACATCATTTAGTTTGCCTATGGAAATCTCCGGCCTGCTGGTAACCAGAAACTTTATACACTCGGGAAGATCTTTAAAATAATCAGCAATCAAATTCATAATTTCATTCTTATCATCTGCTGCACTTTCATCCAAGCCATCGATCACGACTAAAGTTGGTTCTTCTAAATCCAATTCATCAAGGGGATTTTGCAAGTATATTCTAAAGGCATCCTTTAAGCTTTGGACTTGATGAGGTCGCCTCAACTGATCAACAAGCTTTTCTTTAAAACCCGTGATATTTTCACACATCTGACTTGCAAGAGACTGCAGCATAATCATAGGATCTCTTAGGTTTGAATTACTGAAGTCACAAAAGTGAGAAGCTGCCAACTTTCCCTTCATCTTAAAATCCTCACAAACTTTTGCTGCGAACACACTTTTACCAAATCCAGGTCCAGCTGTCAATAACAACACACTTGAGTTATGCTTATTATTAACAAACTCGTCCACTTGTTGTAATAACCACTCTCTCGAGCCAGGATGGAACAACTTTACTTTACTTCTAATTTTGCTCTTGAAATTATGTTTTGCGAGTTTTCGCAAGAGATCTTCATCACTTTCTTTGCTGCAATTTTTCTCAAGAATATTATCCTTAACAATTTGTGATGAATGATTGACGGAACTTTGGATGGCATGGATATTGTTTTGTTGCTCCAAAGCTGACTGATGGAGTTGTTTTATTCCATCACGGTTTTCTTCAGTAATCTGTGTCAAACAATTTATTGAACATTCAATGGCTTCTAGCACTTTCATACTCTTTTCTTCTTCTGATTTCAATGTTTTAAGCCTCTCCACATATATTTCTTCTTCATGCCCTAAAGGACAAGTTTTTAAATCATTGACATCATTCTGTGGAATGTGCAATTCTACCAAAGCCTGGGCAATTTTCAGCCATAGCGATTCAAATGTTGCATTATCCAATTGAGTTGACGTCGCGTGGGCATAAACTTCATTTCTAAAGGACTTGAGTCGTACGATATTTGCTTGCATCGACCTGTCCGTATCCACAGGCTTTGCACCCCATCCTGTTGACGGTAAACCACAAATGTTCCGGAACAGAACTGTAAGTAATGTAACATCAAAGTTTTTGGAATCTGGTGGGTCGCCAGAT